GACATCGCGCGACTTCACGGAGATTACCATTTTTGGTCTTTGTTTAACCGCTCGGCGCTGGTTCACTGTCAAAATAACAACTTTTCGAATCAACCGCTTCCGAGTGTTTCGATATTAAAAAAAAAATTAGGAAATAAAAGTAGAAAAATAGAACCTCGGTAGCTCGGTAGCTAAAAGATATCGATTACACAGTTTCAATACTCGTTCCTTCCAACAATCCGAATGACGAATAATAAAATATTGTGAACGTATTCGCTCTCGTCCCGCTACAAAACCGAATCGAAGACCATGGATGGACTAAAAAAACGAAAAAACGAAAAAAACGTCCTTTCTTTCGATAAATTGTGAAATTGAATTGAAGAAAAAGAAAAAGAAAAGAAAAAAATATTACGATATAAACTCTCGGTGAAAAAAATGAAAGAAAAGAAAAAAAAGAAAGAAGGAAAAGAATAGAAAAATAGACGAGACGTTGCGAAAGGAATATAAGGAAGGAAGAGGAGAAAATTCAAAGCGGTTCCATTATCGAGTTACCGTTACTTGGCCCCCACGATTTATTCAACGCGAGGAGGGAAGCGGTGGAGGGAAGGAGGCGAGCGGTGGCGGTAACGAAGCCCCCCCTCCTCCCCCTCCCCTCCCCCCCTCCGTTCCCGCGAATATCTCGGACCAAAGCCGTATCTCGTTCGAAATGATCGGGTCTCGTTGTCCGAAAATTCACCCCGTAATCGACGGACAAAAAGTAATTTCCTATCGAGACCGGGACAAAGGGTGATTTTGCATGGGGGAGGGTCGGCTGGCGATAGCCACGGGGGTGGCAGTGACCGGTGCGTGTAACGACCACCACCCGCCCTCCCCCTCCCTCCAACCCTTTCGTTTCCCGCTTGCCAAGCCGAACGAACGTTTACGGTGAACGCCACGTGCGCTCTATGCGTGCTCGAGCACCAACTCGCTCTCCAACGTGCACCGCGGCTACGTGTTCGATATCCAACTGGTATGTGGGGCTCTGGGGCATTTTTCGCTCCCGTTTTTCCATCGTAAATAAATACCATCGTTCGAAACTTGTCCGTCGTATCGAACTGGTGGTCGAAATTTTCCCGAGGAGAAGGCGAGAAAAGAAGACGAGACGATTCATTAGAGACGATAACAACGATCCTTTACGATGGATCGAAAGTTCGCCCGATTCAATCGCGTGATCAAATTTTGGAAAATTTCAAAAGAGGTATAGTGGAACAGAAGTAGAATCGGGAAAGAAACGATTCTTCGAAAGTTATCGAATCTAATCTTGCGGGAAAAATTTTTCGTAAGGATTTTGCGTAATTAATTCGAATCGATAAGATCGTTTAAGATTACGCAAAATAGAACAATGCTTAACCAGTTTCCTCGATTCCATTTGGATTGAACGATCGGGTTCGAAAGTTCTATCAAATTTTTCCAAAGAATTTTCCTCCTACGATTATTATCCACGGGATGGGAATATAAATCCGAGAAAGGAATAGCGGGTAGAGAGCGTGGATTAATAAACGATCGACACGCTCGATTCGATTCGATTCGAAACGAGCACAAAGGATATCCCTCTTTTTTCCCTTTCCTCCCCGCCACGGTAATATACAATCGAGCCTGCATGTATCCCTCGACGAAAAGAAAACAAAAATCACATTTGGGAGAATCGGGAGAGCGGGAAACGCGATCGCGAAAACAATAAAAGCCGGGGGAGGAGAGAGCGTGGTGGACGAGATTTACGAGACCGCAGCCGATCTCCAAGAAGACAGAGCTCGTCCAAGAAAAATTGGCCTCCTCCTCGCGATGACACGGTTTGAATTTACCGGCAATCGGTAATGCGGCACGGCTCTGCAGCGCGATAAATCGGCACGGTTTTATTCCCCCTCCCGCTGATGGAAGGGCTGAAAGAGCGGGACGGAGAGAGAAAAGTTGGAGAGGGGAGGGTGCAGCGCAGACTATAACCGACGGCCACCGCACGCTATTCTTCATACTCCATTATCCGTGCTCCGCTCCATTATGCCGGCACCGCGCATAAACGACGAGTCGGGTCGACGAGCGTTTTCCCACCGCCGCTCTCACCAACGCTCACCTTCGCGAAACGCTTCGATAAACATCGCTCCCCCCGCCCCCGCCGATCCCATTTATCCACGCTCTTTTTTTCATCCGCCGAGAAGAGACGAGTGCACTTTCGTTCACCGAGTTGTAGACGCAAGACAGGCGGGAATATGTTTGGCGAATATGTGTCGTCTTATCGCTAGGAAAAAGAAAGAAGGAACAAGAAAAGTAAAATTATATAAGGAAGGTTAAGGAAAATGGACGCAAAAGGAATATATCGTCTTCTTGTCCGGGTCAGAGACGATTCGCGAACGAGTTAATTATCGAGGATGGGCGATCGAGGGAATCAGCGAAGGAATCGAAGCATTAAATTCGAAACGCGTACTCGTTAGCATAGTCGGCGAGTCGATGAGGAGGAAGAGAAGGCAAAACCAGAGGGGGAGGGGGGAATCTTCTCCCGGGCGACTACGTTTAATTAAATCTTTTGCGAATTTACATACATACGTATACGCACAGCATCCGCCGAGGATCCTTTGCAACTGTCGGCTTTGGGGAAGGCTTTGTAGAGATTCGTATCGTTACCTGCGCAACCCTTTGCATCGAGGGACGGCCGTCATTACAGGGAGACGACGGATCTTGCTTACGTACTTTTTTGCCGTACAACCTCGTGTCAATGAACAACCATCGAGTCGAGGATAACTACCCCCCCGCCCGGTTAAATCGCCTCTCTCGGACGATATAATGGACAATGGAGAGAGTCGGAATTGGACAACAATTTTTTTAATCGGCTCCCTAGTCTCTTGCATATATGTTGATATGTATGTATTTCGAGTTCGCGAGCTGGAATCTGGAAGAAAATTTGGACAAAAAGGGAAGATCGGCTCTCTTTCGCAATGCTCAACAATTGGAATTTAATTTAAATATCGAGAAAAGGAAAAAAAGATGAAAAAGTTTGGAGGAGTTGGGGAAATGACGCACGTCATATTTTGAAATACATTTTTATTTCGACTCGGTCAAAAACTACGATAACAATAGGTTGTTGTCGGTAGATATGTATATCTGAAATCATTCGAGTTCTTTCGAGTGGAAGGGGCAGAATGTTAGATGTCGTCGGTTCCAAGAAAAAAACGAATAAATCGTCGTCGACGATTTCAATCGATCGATCGATATATCGCGACGCAATATCCGTTCGAACATTGATTGGCGCGAGTTTTCTCCATTTTTTTCCTTTTTTTTTTCTTTTTCTTTTTTTTCCTTTTTTTTTTTTTCATTTCACTTCCAGAATTTCGATGCAAAAGCGACCAACTTTTTTTTCCCTCTCTTTCTCAGCTGAAATCGCGAACGAAGAAGAGGATTTTCCCTTCTTCCTTTTTTTTTCGAGCGGTTCGATTCGATTTCACACTATTCGTATTCGACCGACACGCGATTCTCGTTCTCAAACTTCGTTCCTCAAACTCGCTCTCGAGAATCGCGATCGGCGATATTGCACACGAGCCCGCATTCAAATCGATCAAAAATCGCATTTTATGCTATTACGTGAAAAAAAAAAAAAAAAAACGTGATCGAAAAAAAAAATAAGTAGACGTTACTATATTACGGATGCGCTCGATGACTGGTCGAGATTCTTCTGAAAAATCCTCATCCTCTCGAGAGGAGGATTCGCCATGTACCGTCAATTTATTCGTTTCTCTAAGAATCTTGATCGCTGCTGAAGAAGGGAAGGGAAAAAAAAAAAAAAAAAGAATCGAGAATTAAGTGAGAGGGGGACGGAAAAAAAAAAAGAAAAAAGAAAAGAGATTCGCGATATTATTACATCTCGTCGTGCTCGAGTTGTTGATCAAATCGAGATCGACACGCAGGGGATAGCGACGAAAGCTCGACCAGCCATCCTTCGACACAAGTCGTCGCACACGTCGCGCAGTCCACGCGACGACGACACAGTGATGAATGACCCGATGAAACGACAATGCTCTATCTATGTACAGTGTTTCTCTATATACATCATCATCATCGTCACCATCACCGTGGAGGAGGGAGCGGGGCGGGGGGGAGAGGGGAGGGGAAGGGGTCAACAAGCAAGCAAGCCAACGTTCACTCGTTCACCCACACACACTTCGGCACACTCGGTTAATTACAAATCGGCCTTCGATCGAGTTCTCCTTTTCAGAGATTCGGAGGAGGAGGCCCTTCGTTCGAGACACGACCAGCAGAAAGAAAAAGAAACGAACGAACAAACGGAACAAAATCATCGTCGTCGTCGTCGTCGTCGTCGTCGTCGTCGTCGTCCGATCGCGTGACGAGTTCTTCGAACGCGCACACGCGTTTCTTCTTCGTTTTTTTTTTTTCTTTTTTTTTTTTTTTTTTTTTTTTTT